CTGACCACGCCCTCTCCCAGGGTAATCTCTTTGACCTGGCGCCCACCAGTCTTCACCAATGGTCAGTTGCTCAGCTATCGCATCTACGTCCAGGCAGTTGATCACCCAGTGGTAAAGCCAACTACTCTTGGTGAGTTTTTCTTTGATAACTTGACGTTTTACCACCCTCTCCCCTTTCCCCCTTCCTCCCAACCAGAGTCGAAACTATTAAAATTATTGAGGAGGCACAATGCTTTGCAGGGGCTCGCAAAAACAGCTTTCCCATGTGAGAGTCGAACTCCCTTCATCTTTGTCTGGGCAGCGGAGAGAGGTCTTCTCTTATTAGGAATTAACTAGCAACCCCCCCCCCTCCCCACACACACACACAAAGAAACACACACAGTGTGAGTATGTGTGTGTGAGTGTGTGTGTGTGTGTGTGTGTGTGTGTGTGTGTGTGTGTGTGTGTGTGTGTGTGTGTGTGTGTGTAATTTATTTATGTATGTATGTATCATGTATTTTGTAACTCGTGTTCAATCAAATGCCTTGACACTTGTGATTCATTTGTCAGAGTCAAAGTATTTTTACTCAAACCTTTAACATCAAAGGTTTAGGGAAATTTTAAATCAAAATAATAATAATAATACGCTGCGCTCAACATGTTTTTCCTTTGAACAGTAATTATTCACTTAGTCGATTTTAGACAACTGTGAATCACTCACGAGCACAAACGCTCGTCGATGTGAAATTAGCTTACTTTGTGTCTTCAAAGTGTTGTTCTATAAAACTGCTAATTTTTTAAAAAGGTCAATTTATAGATTTAGAAACTATCTTATTAGGAAATGTTGACAGACATAAATTTTTGTGTCTGTCACCCTGCAGACAGACAGACAGACAGACAGACAGACAGACAGACAGACAGACAGACAGACAGACAGACAGACAGACAGACAGACAGACAGACGGACAGACAGGATAAATAGATAGATAGATAGATAGATAGATAGATAGATAGATAGATAGATAGATAGATAGATAGATAGATAGATAGATAGATAGATAGATAGATAGATAGATAGATAGATTTTGGTTTGTTCTTTATTTCACTACATCCTCTACCATTACCACCATCGCCATTAACATCTCCACCACTGTTTCAACAACCACCACTCATACAACAACAACAACAACAACAACAACAACAACAACAACAACAACAACAACAACAACAACAACAACAACAACAACAACAACAGCACAGAAGAAACAAGCCAACAGGCAACCTGACTATAATTGACATTTCCATGTCTCCCTTCCCCCACCCCTGTACACGTGCGCCCCCCACCCCCATCCCCACCCCACCCTATCCCTGCCTCGATGGCCGTACAACAACGTAGAGGTGCAATGGAACGCCAGCTCGTGGCTACTGAGCCAGCTGTTGTCCTCCCAACGTTACGTCATCTCGCTGTCCGCCTGGAACGCCGAGGGCGAGGGACCAAAGACCAGTCGCACCATCAGCACACCCAACCCGGGCAACTGTAAGTCATTACTTGTACATTAATCAAATATGTTGTATTCTTGTTACCATTACTGTGATACTTCCTACTATGTACTAAGTAGGTGCAGTCAATCCTGCTCTAACGGCAACCTAGATCTATCTATCTATCCATCTATCTATCTATATCTATATATTATATATATATATATATATATATATATATATGTGTATATTATATAAATATATAAGACAAACACTTGCGCAAAAGACCACTTCCTACTCTTCTCCCCCCCCCCCCACCCCCACCCCTTCCCTTCCCGATTTTCCTGCATTTTAATGACATTCTATAAGACGGCCATCTCTCTCAGATGACCACTTTTCTCGTTGACAATGGATAGCCGTCGTGTACACTTTCGACAATACTTGTCATTTAGAAGGCAATATAGTGCTTTGTGTGCCAGCATGGGCGCAGACACTACTAGAAAAGACAGAAATCTTTCCATATAAGGATGAGAGAACTTCCGATCCCATCCTGATTCAAACCTCAACTCCTACATACTGATCGTGCCCCCTACGGCGGCCGAAAAAATCTACGTATACGAGCACAACATAAGAAAATAAAAAAGTCACCCTGACAGTCTCACCCCCAAGGTAGACGAGTCTCTTGCGCTATGGACCAGGTTGAAGTCCTTAGCGGAGTGGTATAAATTCAAATATTTTTTACAGAATCTCCTCAGTCTTAATAAGAGTAGCCTCGACGAAGAGTGTTACAGTATTGGAACCGCGGGGTCAAGCTCATATAAATATTCGATAACGTTTGTTTTGAAGGGGAAAAGGACTTTACGTTTTGGCATTATCTACGCTACGCGGGAGGTAGGAAATGGCAGGCTAGTGACTCTCAGCTGAAATAAGAAACAACTCTCACAAATATGCCATTACAACCAATGTTTTGACATCCCCACATGTCACTCACCGACGACTCACGCCCCACGAAAGCTCATAGGGCATGAATACTTGACACCGGCCTGACATGGTATACAGAAACCAACGTGTCACTGAAGTCTTGATGCAAGGATCTAATACCGATGTTTTATAAGCCTTTTCAAAGTCTTTCCTCTAAGAGTCTTTGTTACAAGATCTCTTTGACATTCGTCGACATAGCGTTACTATTGCGTTTTCCGAGTGTTTCCCTCATCACTTCGCCCTACCCCTCATACAGCTCGAATGTCTCATATAAACTATTCTGTTCCTCTGTCAAGAAAAACTAGCCTCAATGAGAAGGCAACCTGTTACTGATGTCGGTGACTGAGACTTTGATAAGCGTCATATGGTTTACTAACTATAGCAAGCTGGGCTCTGTATAAATAAGGCATTAAAGAACGAGATGTTAATATTTAGGGGAATTTGATCTTATTTGTATGCTGGCAGTTTGGGAGATCGACGCACAGACTAACAATTAATTGACACTCAAGCTTACCGATTAACATTTTTCATGTACAGCCGCCATTTAATTTTACATGCAGTTGTATTGTTGCACGCCAGCCTGTCTGTTTATCTCTCTTTTCCCTTTCTCCAAAAGGTCGTTCTCGTGTCGATGTGCTACTTTTTGCAATTTTGCAAGAATAAAGGGAAACAAAGACACACAAGAAAATTGAACAAAACAACTAAAACCTAAATCTTGTTCAATTGCTCAAGCAGTGTCATTAGACGTCACAACGTTTACTATAGAACTTTACATTTTCTTAAAGAGGTTTTTAATTGCTGTTGTTGACATTTGACTCTATTAGACGTATGGACCTTGAGAGTGATGCGAGGACACTAGACAGATTCTTCACATTTTGTTGCTCAGTCTGGAGGGTGGAGGAAGAGGTATGAACGAGAAGTTGGCAGACATTTGCTACCATCTCGTGGCCAAGCCGTCGGGTACCCTCGGAATACGTTGCCCTCCGAGAACACTTAAGGACATTTTCCAACTCACCTAAGAACGTTTATGAGAAGGAAAAATAAAGACTTAAGTATGATATTTGAACTTGTGGGTTGGTAGAGTAGGGCAAATCCTACCCAGGACATTTTGCGTTGGCTTATTTTCTACTTTTTGTGCCATTTGTTTCAAAGCTGTGAGTGCGTAGGTTTTTTTTTAAAAACAACATAATAAAATATAAAAACACCTACCGTTGATGAAGCAATATTCTTCTGTAGACAGGGCTGGACAATTTTTTCACAACATATCACCCCCATCTTCTATGGTATAAATTTTTTAAACACTTTTTATTCCATGATATCGTGTTTCCTTTCATCATCCCCAACCCTCTATTTTTTCTCTCCGCTTCTCTTTATTTTCAATTCTGCTCTTCTTTCCCTTTCCTTTTCCTCTCCCTTTTACACACCCTCACCTTCTTTTTCTCTCTACTTCGCTCCTCACATATCTCTTTCTCTTTCTCTCCCTCTCTGCC